ACACCGACGCCGACGCCGAGGGTATCACATAAGCTCCCCCCAACTTCGTTGAGGTGAGCTAAAAATTATTAAAAATTTCAAGTGCCAATTTTAATATTCTTTGTATCAAAGATATTCTAAAAATAAATGTGAATGAAAGGTACGGTATTATAAATTCTTTGAAATCTTGAACCTATGTACTGTAATCATGTGTTTAAACTTAAGTGCAAATATTAAACTCTAATGATTAAATAATTTATTGAAATAAAATATCACATTAATGGAAAAACATGAATAAGATGACTAATAACTTAATCTGTAAAAGTGTTTATTTTTTAATAAACTTTTTAGAAATAAATATGCTTAAACTAAATTGATTTGTTTGCGAAATATGTTAAAGTAAGATATTCTCTAATAGATACTCTATTTTATCATTCAAACATTTTTTTTGTGCATTTAAAATTGGTTTGAACATATTTTATTGAATAAATACTATGCAAATGGTATGAAAACAAGTTCTAACAAATTCTAACAACTTACGAGGTTCTAACCATAAAAGGCTACAACTGTCAATGTTTATACATGGAAAGAAAAAGAAAAAAAAACCTAAATTGATATAATTAAATATAAGTTTTGCATGGACCTTTTATGTATTTCTTGTAAACTATATAAACCAGATTATATTATATTTTTACCATCAATTAATTTTTATAGCACATGTATACATGTAGTTCCTATTTAGTACAAATATTTCTGCAAAGTAACTTGTACTCAATTCTATTTCCTTTCATTCTGAATACATGTATAATCTCTTTATCGGAAAGATTTAATTAGTAATGATCCGAATACATTCAATAATTTTAGTGTACTGTAAAAAAAAAAAAAATCTCTCTGAAAATGGATGAATTAATATTAATTTTATTCTCACTGTTTCCCGAGAAAATCATTTTTTTAAAATTATTTTTACATAAGGCCAAACAAAAAAATAACTTTGTTTACTGTTACATGCTGAAATAAAATAGGGTCGGTAGACCTGTAGGATTTTTTTTTTATTTTATTGAATTTTTTTATACACAAATTCACATGAATTGGTTGAATTAAAAAACAGTTTTACCATTGTATGCAGGGGTTCAAAATTTTTTTTGTCATGGTCAAGTCCAGGACTTGAAGAGTAAATTTTAGGCAAGTCCGAGGAAGAAATTTCAGAGTCCATATTTACCTATACATCATTAAATTTATGTTACTTATAATTTATTTTCATTTGTTGCGTTGAATGAATAAAGACTATATGCATTAATATATATGTTTTATTTTTCCTCCATAAACTGTCATGAGTATTTTAACACAACACCAGACTGATATATTACTGGTACATTACAATAACTTTTACAAATACTCACTACTGAATAAACCATCTGTTACAATAAGTAGAAATTAGAATGTGCTGTTAGTCACAGCTAAAACCGAAATTAAACAAACTCATTGTCATTTGTCATATAGGAGGAAACATGAGGAATTGCTTAAAAGCAAGAGTCTAACCGCAACAGAAAATAAAATGACGAATTGTATTTTCGAAACGTTCGTAATGTTTTATGGGTATTTTAACGCCCACAAACCCACATTTTTACCTAATACATTTGAGAATTTGCTTTTTTTAGCTTTAAGATCATTTTTTTAACTTATAAAAAAAGATAAACAAGAAACATAGCCAAGTCCCAGGACTTTGGCGAATTCTAAATGCCGAGTCCGGATCCGGAATTGGTTAGTCCGGGACGTCGGGCTTGAGGAATTTTGAACCCCTGTGTATGGTGCCTTACTTTTGTTTGGGCTTGTAATATGGGTGGTTGACAATATTATCTTTCTTGCCAACTGCCTTATAACTCAGGGGTGTGCAATTGAAAATAAAATCAAGTATACTAACCCACAGGTTTGTAACAGCAATAAAGTTACTAGTCCCGGTAGTCCGCAGTTAAAAGTGACCAGTCCAAATATAGGGGCAAAAAATTGTAAAAACTAATATTTTAAAAAGTTCATTGTTGAGAAAGCCAGGGTCCTAAGCCATTCCTTTTAAAATTGAAGTTAAAAAATTTTAAGAAATTATCTTTTCTTTTCTGAACATATTGCACTAGTCTAGCTTATCTAAAATGAAGCAAAAATCATTTTATTTTCATTTCAAACCATTAAGTATAATTGATATATATTAAAGTTTAATCACATAACACTTAGCTATCAGTTGATTGGGGGATCGTATATAATTGAATGAGATATCTGCATGTATTTACCATTAACAGAGGAATGGAGGAAATTCGGATTAGGAAAAAACGATCGTTTTTTTAAGTAAATAAGTCAGGTAGTACTGCAAAATGGATGAGATTAAAGTGATTTAAGAACAGTAGGAGCATGCTGCCTGGAAAATTTTCATTAGTTGGAAATTAAATAGCAAAACAATGAGTGAAAATACCATTTCTGTTTCTCGATCATGTATTTATAATTATCGTCCCGTCATGTGTTTTCGTGGTATATACGTTTTCGTGGTATATTTTATTTTTACGAATAATCGCACAATGCGGGATCGAAATGACGTCATATTTGCTATTAATAAAGGGAAACGCTGTGCATGTTTTATGACCAAATGTTAAACCTTTTTGCCTTTGCCAAAATAAAATATAGCGAGTGAGTTATGCATAGTTCCCAAATTTGACAATTTGCGTAACATACGCTTATTCGTTGTGTTTTGGCCTAGAATATCAAACTTACAAATTAACAGCCGGCGATCCTGCATATCATCGTCTGTTAACTATCCATACAACTTCAGGTCATGTGACAATAATTTTGAATTTCCCACTTTTGATATTTTTTTCTACGGTGATCTAGTAACGTCATTTTTTATATAATTTTCAAAGAAAATATTGTGGGTGTTAAAAAGTTATATGCTTAAAAAAATATAAAGCCATTGATAATTAATTGAATTAATCATTTAATATCTTTAAGTATACATGGAATTTATATTTTAAAACATGAAACATTAAAATAAAGATTTACAAAATTATTTCTAGGCCACTTTTGAGAAAGAGAAAATTTTTAAATTATTTTGCAATACAGCTTAGGCACGCCTGATAGATGTGGTCTTAATTAACAACAAATAAATTTCCATGTCAAATAATGCAATCATTTTCTCAATTAACTAGTATTTTTGACACTGTAAAATTTATAAGGATTTTGCCCGACTAGATTTCCATAGTTTACTTGTTTTATAAATACCACGAAAACATGACGTCAGCAAAAATATCGAAAGAGCAACTATGCAAGAATTCAATGACCTTCTGAACAAATAACAAATTATATGCGAGTTAAACTCATTTTAAAATAAGGAGAATTATTGTTTGTATATGTGATAAATAGTGAACATCTCAATTATTCAGTCTTAAAACACTTTATAACAAATTAACCGTAATGCCACGAAAACTCATGATTCGAGGGTATACATGCATAATTTTAATTTTATTTTTGCTACCCCCAAAAAACGGTAGCACCGGGCGTTGGGCGATGCTAGTTGCACACCCTTGCAACTGCCACGCAATGGTCAGCAAATTGCAATGAACTTGTTGATGTAGAAATTAATTAAACTCACTGGTTTTGTTTCTGTACTTTCAATTTCGATTTCAAAGATGAATGTAAAAGTTAAACTGACTGGCCAGTAAGTTCTGGATTTTTATGAAGAAAAAAAAGTTTGGGTCGGCGATTAAAATTAGGGTCGTTCGGGTAACCGTAAACAAACATATTTTTTTGTTACGCCTAAAACATGATCCTAAGTTTTTTTTTGTTTTTTTTTTGAAATTCATATTGATATGAATGTACCGGTATGTATTTTAAAATACATGTAATAAATATGTAGAAACTGAATAATTAGTAAATATGTTATAAATCAAGAATTTATTATATGTATTTTGATATTGAACTTATACACCACAGGTAATTAGTACAGGTAATAAAACAGACTATACAAGGTGACCACTCAGGTGTGAAAATCCCAATTTTGGCTAGATGGGAATAAGAAATTCAGAATTTTGGCTAAGTCATTAGTGGGAATAAACCAATGAGACACCAGTATATATACAACAGTAAGAGTTTGTGAAGGCATCTTTTGATTAACCTGCTTACCTGTAGAATTTTACATGCACAAAGAGCATCTACATCAAAGGCCACCAGTACCAAAACTCTCTGTAAATGATAAAAATTATATAGTGAAAACTGACTTATCTGACACCCATTCAATCCGTTTTATTGTGAATTGACTGAATTCCAAACTGTTTTCTGTATTCCTTTAAAGTCTTAACACTATGCTATTCAAGTTGACCACACAATCAAAAGATTGTGCAAGACCTGTCAAAATACAGAAAGGAACAAACACATGGGGAGGGAGATATCTGTGTGTGTCAAATGACAAAAGTGATCAATTGACAATTTCCTATTATAACTAACAAAAATTTAACAAACACAGTTTTGAGAAATCGAATATTTTCTCTCATGCAATTCATAACCACATACCTGGTGCCTAACAGCATCATAAAACCCAGATTTGATATCTTTGAGGAACATCTTGTGTCATTGTTTACCAACTCATTTTTGGCGCGTTATATTCGACAAGGAGTTCCGAATGAATTCTCCTATTGGTCAATATCCAGCTAACTTAACCAATGAAAAGATTCTTTACATAAGATTAATTAACATCGGGATCGTAATTCTGAAATCTTAAACCGAAAGTCGAACTACGCATGTGTAAATTTTCTGTTTGTTTTAGTATATGTCATTCTATTTTTCAGTCGATGACTTAGGTTTAAGTGTATTTCCGAAGTTAATTATCAGGGACATTCAGTATGGTAAGCGGCAATTTGTGTGTTAGAGAAAATACATGTACACAAGTAGTTTATACGCTGCAAGTATTTGATCACATGTTCATCTTTTTTTGCAAAATCTTTATGACAATATATGCAATACCTCCTTGCAATGACTTTTTTTTTGTAAAATCCATGTAATTCCAAAGCTAAGAAAATAATGAACCAGAATTGAAACTTACCAACATGTGAAGAAAACGCTGCTAATAACCTTTAACATATTTTTGAACAACTGTTTACCTCGTACCGATTATCTCCCCCATGCACGTATCATAAACGTTGAGAACAGATTGAACAAATAATTTTTTTTTTTTTGAAAAAAAATATTTTTCTATGATGAAAGTAAATGATACTAGTCTGCAGTACTAAAGTTCAAAATTGTTGTATATGTATGGTATTAAATTAACTTCTTAATTAGCTGTCTGAATTTGATTTCATTAATATTTTTAATTTGTATCTGGTAAACACCACAATAACACTTCAATTTTAATACTATTTAGACTACCGGACAGTGATTTATCATTAGCTTTGCGCAGTGGCGGTACCATAGCCGATGAGGTTCATCCGAGGCGTGGTTATTGCTAGTTGAAAACTATACCCAATACCCCGCACAGGGGCCTGAAACATGGCCGCTAGTGCAATTTTTGATCGCTCCTAAGGGAGCAAGATAACTTAATATATAAAGTCAGAAACAAGTACCCATCTTAATTGAAACACTCTTACTGCATTTAAAGTGACACTGTCTGTACAGAACATAAAGCCATAAAAATTATGGCAAGAACTCTGTGTATATTCGGTTTGATATGTGTGTTACAGTTTGGTTTTGGTCAGATGTTCCCAGAGATGGGAAGGAGTTTTAACCAGACATACCGATGTTATTCTGTCACTATGCTTGGAGAAAGAGATGACGTGGAACGAGGAGGAAAAAGTATGTAACATATTCAGATAAATAAATTATCTGATTCTCTGGCAAATTTTCTCTAAAACAGATGCAGAATGATTTACTTTAGTTGGATTTGCATTTTTCACTGCTGATAAACTACTTTTTCACAATATAAATTTACAAAAAGTTTTGTACATTTTCAGTAATTATGCCTCCATCAGCACTAGATCAGCTAAGTAAGTATTTTGTAGCATATATGATGGTATGTACCAGTTCTTTATAATTATTCTTTTTTCTGAAGAGGAGGACATTTATTGTAGCAATTCACATTTCTTTTTTTGAAATGTAAATTTTGCCCCAAAAATGAACTTATTTTAATTTATAGATATACATATATAAATTGATAAATTGACAAATCTGTCTTTTGGAATGATAAAAATCATACATTATTGTATCTTATTGTAATTTTTAGCTCTACTGGTAACAGACCAGAAGAGCTTATGCGATAATAATGCGTCCGGCGTCCGTCCGTCTGTCTGTCTGTCTGTCTGTCCGTCTGTCTGTACACAATTTTTCAAAATGCTACTCCTCTTACAGTTTTTGCCTGATTTCAATATAACTTGGCACACAAGTAGACTACACTAAGATACATAATTCTTTATATCGATTTTTGATTTCGATGAACGGTGTTGCCGTGTTTACTAAAAATAGAAATTTCTGTAAAATTCTTTCAAAATGCTACTCCTCCTACAGTTTTGGTCTGATTTCAATATAACTTGGCACACAAGTAGACTACACTAAAATACATAATTGTATATATCGGTTTTTGATTTCGATGAACGGTGTTGCCTTGGTTACTAAAAATAGAAATTTCTGTGAAATTCTTTCAAAATGCTACTCCTCCTACAGTTTTGGTCTGATTTCAATTTAACTTGGCACACAAGTAGACTACACTAAGGTACATAATTCTGTTTATCGGTTTCGATTTTGATGAACGATGCTACCGTGGTCACTAAAAATAGAAATTTCTGTGAAATTCTTTCAAAATGCTACGTCTCCTTCAGTTTTGGTCTGATTTCAATACAACTTGGCACACAAGTAGACTACACTAAGGTACATAATTCTATTTATCGGTTTTTGATTTCGATGAACGGTGTTGCCTTTGTTACTAAAAATAGAAATTTCTGTGAAATTCTTTCAAAATGCTACGTCTCCTACAGTTTTGGCCTGATTTCAATATAACTCGTCACACAAGTAGACTACACTAAGATACATAATTCTTTGTGTCGGTTTTTGATTTTGGTGAACGGTGTTGCCGTTGTTACTAAAAATAGAAATTTCTATGAAGTTCTTTCAAAATGCCATGTCTCCTATAGTTTTGGTCTGATTTCAATATAACTTGGCACACAAGTAGACTACACTAAGATACAATTCTGTGTATTTTTGACTTCGATGAACAATATTGCCTTGGTTACTAAAATAGAAATTTCTGTTAAATACTTTCAAAATGCTACTCCAAATACAGTTTTAGTCTGATTATAATGTGGCATGCAAGTAGACTACACTAAGAATATAAAGAGACTTAATCAAGGATCATTATTCTATTTATTGCTGTTGTAAAGTTTCAATTCCCAACTGCTGAAGTACATGAACTTTCCTCTTCCTTTGCTATAAGTACAAACCAGTAGAGTCTCAACAGAGACTTCTGGTTGATTTCTATAAACGGTGTTGCCGTGGTTACTAAAAATAGAAATTTCTATGAAATTCTTTCAAAATGCTACTCCTCCTACAGTTTTGGTCTGATTTCAATATAACTTGGCACACAAGTAGACTACACTAAGATACATAGTTCTGTTTATCGGTTTTTGATTTCGATAAACTGTGTTGCCGTGGTTACTAAAAATAGAATTTTCTGTGAAATTCTTTCAAAATGCTACTCCTCCTACAGTTTTGGTCTGATTTCAATATAAGTTGGCACACAAGTAGACTACACTAAGATACATAGATTTTTATATCGGTTTTTGATTTCCTTGAACGGTGTTGTCGTGGTTACTAAAAATAGAAATTTCATTAAAATGGTTTCAAAATGCTACTCCTCCTACAGTTTTGGTCTGATTTCAATATAACTTGGCACACATGTAGACTGCACTAAGATACATAATTAGATTTATCGGTTTTTGATTTCCATGAACGGTGTTGTCGTGGTTACTAAAAATAGAAATTTCTGTAAAATTCTTTCAAAATGCTATTCCTCCTACAGTTTAAGTCTGATTTCAATATAACTTGGCACACAAGTAGACTACACTAAGATACATGATTCCGTGTTTCGGTTTTTGATTTCCTTGAATGGTGTTGCCGTGGTTACTAAAAATAGAAATTTCTGTAAAATTTTTTCAAAATGCTATTCCTCTTACAGTTTTGATCTGATTTCAGTATAACTTGGCACACAAGTAGACTACACTAACATAAAGAGACTTTATCAAGGATCATTATTCTATTTATTGCTGTTGTAAAGTTTCAATTCCCACCTGCTTAAGTACTTTTCTCTTCCTTTGCTATAAGTACAAACCAGTAGAGCTTCAGTTTCGACAGAGACTTCTGGTTAAATTTAACAATCCCTAATTCCCTTTCAGCTCGATTACACATTCAGTATCCAATGCTTTTCAAGCTGACAAACAAGAAAAAGAACCGAGAAACTCACTGTGGAGTTCTAGAGTTTGTAGCTGATGAGGGAAGAATCTACATTCCTTATTGGGTTTGTATTGGGTTTGTATAAAAAAGGATCTCTCTTAGTTTTTAGTGAGCATTTAGCTCTCTTGAGCTGAAAGCAGAAGTGAGCTTTTCTGATCATGTGTCGCCTATATCTGCCTGATAGCGTAGGTTTTGTTGCAAAAATGGTGTGCATGAGGTGTGCACTTGTAATTTTTGTCTAATGTATAATTTATGGAAAATATTCTTGTTTCATACAAGAGCTGTTCGGTATTGTAGTACTTTTGATTACTGTAATTCAAAATCTTGTCTGACTCTTAAAAACTTCAATATCCACTCATTGTGTCTTTCAGATGATGACAAATTTGTTATTAACAGAGGGAGATCTGATTCAAGTGGAAAATGTTTCCCTGAAAGTCGCCACGTTTGCCAGATTTCAGCCACAATCTGTGGACTTTCTTGACATCACTAACCCTAAAGCTGTGTATCTTTTGAATATAAGATGTAAACTGTATATTTAAACATAGCTTTATAAACTGTGTAATAGCTATTCATGTTATATGGTTATACAGTTGATAAAGAACAAACCATAATATTATAAACAGTTTAATTTTATATACTCCTTAGCATTGTTTAGATTGGAAAATATGCTTCGAAGTTTTGCCTGCTTGACAACAG